ATAAGTAAGACACACATGTGTAAATACCGAATAGTTTCTCCAGTGTGAGAAACTGAGAGTGTAAATAAGGACTAAAAGGATTAATAACTAATAATTGATACTTTTAAATAGGAAAAGGTCCAAAGGGGTAGGGGTGGTGGGAGGAGATGGGGAAAGCCAAGAAGGGAAAGGAAAAATTATGAGAAAAGAAAAACAATGGAAACGAAGTCTATGTAAATAGGGAAGGGTGGAGGGATGAAGGGCGCACAGGGAATGGGGAAAAAACAAGAACCAAGATCCATCATGTACAGGTACAAGCACCCAATGACAAACGTAAACGTATTGTATACCTAAAATGTACCAATAAAAGAATTTAAGCAAACAAAAAATAATGTGAATTTTTAAAGAGCTAGAAGATTTTGAATGCTTCACCACAAGTAAATAATAAATGTTTGAAGGTGACAGCTATGCTAACTGTCCTTACATGTTCCTTATACAATATGAAAATGTGTTAGAACATCACACTGTATTCCAAAAATTTGTGCAACTCTGTGCCAACTAAAATAAAGTATACCTTAAAATAAAAAACGAAAATTGGTGGTGAAAGTTTAAAGATATATAGAATTTTTGCATAGCATCAAAGTGTGTCCGCTTCCACATACTTATTATACAGGGAAAAACAGTAACTTTACAGTAGATCATTAAGGGTAACAGGACCCACAGAAAACATGGATACTCTGTACTCCCTGTGATATCCTGAGGATATTACCTCTATAGAATTCTTCTTTAAAAGTGTTTACTTAAAACAACATGCCTTATTATGCCAGCAGCAGCCTCACCCATCTTATATTTACCAAATTTGGGAGGATTTTTCCCCTGCAATGCTGGAGATCCCATCCAAGTACTAGCACATGCTAACCACACACTCCACCACTGAACCACAACCCCAGGCCCTACTCCATCTCTGTCCTGCATCAAGAGGCCACATCAAGTGATTGACATATACCATCCAGGTTTATGTGTACGCACTCTGGTGTTCACACAGTGACAACATTCCTTGACCGTGCATTCCTCGGATCTCCACTGTCAATCGATGCATGACAGATGTGTGCGTGTGCATGTGCGTGTGTTTTCTGTTGTTTAAAAAAGATGGATAAGGACTCAGTTAAGACAATGGGAGAAGCCACAAGAACCATGGGCATCCTGCCTCTTCCTGCCTCGAGGAAAAACTGGTCCAAATTTCACTCTTCTGTTGCAAGTCCCTAATCACTGAGGCGAATCAGCCTGATAGCCTCCAGCAACCAACTTTTGGAGGCACTTCTGGCAGAAAAGAGGATGGGAATGGAACACTGTCACTCTGGGACACCATCTTGGAGGGTCCATGGGAGCTCCTTTGGGGGGGGGTCCCTTGGGCTCCTCAAGAGCAAAGCTGGACTCATGATCGTCTCCCACAGTGACCATCCCAGTAATCAGCCAGAGCCAGGCGGCAAAATACTGGGGAACAGACCCTGGTAGGCCAGGGGGAAGTACCCTATTTCTTCACAGCCAGACCAAGTAAGTAAATTTTGGGAAGAACCAAGCAAGCAGCCCACTGAAGCAGCTGTGCCAGGTTATGAGAAGGCCAGCAGTCCTGGCCTGCTCATCTTCCAGAAGCCCTCTGGACACAAACGAGTGCTAGAACTGGAGGAAGCGCTAGTGCTTTGCGTGACCGAGCAGACAGGCAGGAGTAAGAGGAAGGCTGGACGGCATTGCGCTCTACGCGTCCTAGGTCTTACCCTTCAAGACTTTGTTGACCCACTGGATTGCAGCTCTCTTCTCTAGGTCCAAGTCTTCAGCCGTGACCCGATAGCCAAGCAGGAGAGGTGGGGGGAGGATCACTGGGTCTTTTCTTGTACAGGACAGCAGAAGAATCTTTCGTTTGGGGTGCCTTGAAAGATCAGACGGGTTTGAGCAACCCCGCAGGCTTTGTTGCTGGCTTGATGGAGCGTTGGTGCCCTTCTCGTGCTGGCTTTTCCTCTGTGATACCACCGAGGTCGAAGAGCTAGCCTGATGGCCTTCCTCACTGGGTTTCTTTGCAGGCACCAGAAAATGGGATGGGCCTGGGTGGGGGCGCCCAGCAGGGCCTGCACCACCTCTCTTGAGCAGCAGTGGGAGGCCTTGGGTGGAACTGTAGGAACTGGTGATGGCGTTGCGTTTGCTGCGTGAGCTCGAGAAACAGCCCTGGGATTCCGTCATCAGACTATTCACTGAGCTCCCGGAACAGAAGCCCATCTTCAGAGGCCCAGGCCCGGGCAAGAAAGAAGAGAGCGCCCCGCTGACCTCGAGGCGCCTAACCGCAGACTGGTGGCTCTCGCTGCCTTCAGAAAGCCTTCTCGGATCCGCCTGTCTTTCCGGGATAGCGCTGCTCTCCTCCTGCCTTGTAAATCCTTCCCCGCTCTCTCCCGGGGAGGCCAGGTCTTTCTCCTCCTTGGCTTTCTCTGGACTACTTTCTTCTAGAGCTGTCAGCCGGGACTGCTTTGCAATTGAGACTGAGAAGAGGCCGGTTCGCGAAGTCCAGCCGGTCAAGGCTGACGGGTCCAGAGCCAAACAGAGCCTGAGTTTTCCCCTCGCGGACGCCAGGCTCAGGATGGCTGCGGGGCAGGGCATCCTGAGGCTGGACACTGACCGCGCCGGCTTCTTCTGAAGGCCCCTCGAGGGCGTGGAGGGAAAGACCCCCAGAAACAAACACCGAGCCTTCTGGGCGGGACCTCGCTGGCTGTGGACGACGAGAAGCCGCCGACGGTGCCGACGTCGCCAGGGGGAAGCCACGGGGTGCTCACAGGACAGTCTGCTCGTCAGGTTGGGGGACAGCAACCTCGAGGGGACCCGGAAAGCAGAGGACACGCGGCGGTCGCGGCGGGGGAGTGCGAGGCTCTGCGGCCTCTCCAGCTGGTCCTGGCCCCGCACGGGTAGGGGCTGCGGGCCCTGGCGCGCCCGGCTCAGGTAACCACCCATGAAGGGCGGTTCTGCAGGTCGGGTTCCGCAAACGGAGTCGCGGGCCGGAGGTTTCCGTTAGCCGCCGAGGCGCCCACAGCGCAGACTCCTGGAGCGCGCGACGTGGGGCGCGGGCGTTGGGGCGCGGGCGGGGGAGCCTCCTCGGGCCCGCCCTTCCCGGCCGGAGCGGGGCGCACTCGCGCCAGGTCTGCCCGGCTTCCGGAGCCTAGAGGACCGCGCCCCCTGGAGTCCCCAGCCCTCCAGGTCCCGCCCCGGGCCGGGTTGGGGGTCAGGCAGGGCGGGAGGGCTGAGCGGAACCGTCGGAGGGGCGCCCTGTCCTCGCCGACGCTGTGTAACCAGCCGAGCCACCGGCGGGAACGTTGTGCGTTCCTAAGACATGAAAGAGGCTTCTACAGTTCAGGAGTCTGGCTTGAAACGGTTTTAACGATGTTGGTATCTTGGCTTCCCGATATTTATCTATTTATTTATTTTCGTATCAGCCTGCTATGCTTCCAAACCTTTTCTAAGATGAGGTAAGAGAAAAAGTCATAGTAGTCATGTATAAACTGTCACAATATGAAAAGGAATTATCCCAGATGTTTAAAGGAGATTCTAAAATGTAATTAAAGTTATATGAAATTTCAGTAAGTTTTGATGGTTAAATATTTAAATGTTAAACTTATTAATTGAACGAATTAGTCAAACAAATTTTTCTTATAGACACATTAAAGTGACATATGTTTTGGCCGGGGATTTAGCTCAGTGGTTCTGCTGCTTGCTTTGCAAGTGCAAGGACCTGAGTTCGATCCCCCGTACCAAGAAGAGTAAAATATGTTTTGTCATCCTACAAATATCACCTCAGTTCTTTTCAGTTATTAACTTTTTAAACAATTTTGAGACATAGTTTACATGATAAAACTCACCCATTCAAGATTACACTTCAAGAATTTTCAGTAACTTTATAAAATGTAGAACTTGTACCAGAATCTAATTTATTAACATTTCCATTATCCCAACAAGAAAAGTCATGGCTCTTTGTACTCACTCCCCATTCTCACTCACAGGCCCCAGCAACACCTGATGCAGTTTCTATATAAATATATACACAGTGCCCTTTCTGGGGGTTTTGTTTTGTTTTGTTTTGGTACCGGGGATCGAACTTGGGTCCTTGCGCTTGCACAGCCCGCGGCGAAACCACTGAGCTAAATCCCCGGCGCAACAGTGCCCTTTCTGGATACTTCGTGTAAGTGGATCCTTCAAGGTATAGTCTTTTGTGTCTACTCTCTTTCGCTTAGCATAACGTTTTTGAGATTCATCTATGTTGTGGCATGTATCAGTACTGCATTACTTTCCTTCTTCCTTTTTATTTAAACGGCAGAAATTAATTTTCTCACAATTCTGGAGGCCGGAAGTCTGAAATCAAGGTATTGGCAGGTTCAGTTTCTTCTGAGCCACCCTCCTTGGTTTGTGGATGGCCACTCTTTCCCTGTTTCTTCACATGGAGTTTCCTTTTCATGTCTCTGTCCTGGTCCCCTCTTCTTATTACTTATATTGGGTTAAGACCCCCCCCAGTGACCTCATTTGGCCTTAATTACTTCAATACACAACCTGTCTCCAAATACTGTTACCTCCTGAGGTGTGAGGGTTGGAACTCTATCATAGGAATTGGGGGAGTCACAATGTCATAACTTTCCACCCACTTGCCCCCCAAAATTCATGCACTTGCATGCAAAATACATTCAGCTCATCCCAAAAGCCCAAGTTATCCTAACTGACTCCAGCATCAACTCTTAATTGTGAAATCTCACATCAGTAGCATCTACATCAAGTGTAAGTGAAACTAAAAATAAATTCATCCTGGGCAAAATACCAACAGCGAACCTGTGAATTCAGAAGTTACCTGTTTTCAAAATGCAGTGTTGGGACAGGGGTAGGACAGACATTCCCACCCAGGGAAAAAGTTGGGAAGAAAAAAGGAGTGAATGGGCTGGGGATTTAGCTCAGGGGTTCCACTGCCTTCCTTACAAGAGCAAGGACCCAAGTTCCATCTCCGGTACCAGAGAGAGAGAGAGAGAGAGAGAGAGAGAGAGAGAGAGAGAGAGAGAGAAAGGAGTGAATGTCCTAAGCAAGTTAAAGCCTAGCAGGGAAAATTCCATTAGACTTTTAAATTTTTACCCAAAGATTTAATTTATTATTACCAAAATCAGCACTAGGTTGCACATTTTGACCTCCCCATATTTAATCTTTATACAGTATACATTTATAGACATTAACGTATGCAGCTAATTTAAGCAGCATTTGTGGAATTTTTCATTAGGTTTTGACTCCAAGAATAATCTTCTTTGGTGCCATGCTGTGGGTTGTGGTCCCACCAGGTAGGTAGCTTCGTCCCCTTGGCCATGGAAAATACCTCTTCTCTGGAACCAAGGAAGAGACAGTCCCATCCCCTGTGTCTGTGCTTGTGACAGTGACAGCCCTGCTGACCTCTGAGCCACCTTTGGGGTCATTCCTCCCTGTACTTGAAGGACAGTGCGTGTTTACTACTATACAGCTCTATCATCCTGTTTCCTGCCTATAGAATTCCAGAAATACAGCAAGCCGCCTTCACTGCATCATACTTCTGTCTTCACTGTGTCAGTGTATTTGCTGAAATGGTTAACTGGATCCAGAAGTCATGTGTTCATAATATATCTAGTAAAGTCCCACCATACCCTTTCAAGAGCACACCTTTTGCAGTTTTTGCAGTATGATTATGCCTAGAATTCCCCAAAATTTTAAGTCCTGGTTCTTTTTTGTGTAATAATTCCTTTTTTATTTATCTCTATCCTTTCAAATTTTATTATAAGCAGCAAGGAAAAACAAAGCTACACCTTCAACACTTTGGTTAGAAGTATACTCAGCTAGGGGCCAGGGATTTAGCTCAGTAGTTTCACCGCCTGCTGCGCAAGCGCAAGGACCCGAGTTCGATCCCCGGTATCAAAAAAAACCCCAAATAACAAAAAAAAAGTATACTCAGCTAAACTTCACAGTTTATTACTTAAACATTTACTTTCCATAAAAAAATTGGAACACAATTATGTGAAGCTCTTTACCACTTTACAACAAAGGCTGTCTTGCCTCCAGTTTCCAGTAATATGTTCTTCATATCCATTTGAGGTTAGTCTGTTAGTCTGTCAAGGAAATCCAGGTTTTTCTAACATGTACCTCAAAGTTCTTCCTGCCTCTACCCTTTACCTTGCCCCAAGTCACTTTCACATATTTAGGTATTTGCTACAACTGCACCCCAATTGCCAAAGTCTGTTACAGTTTGCTAGGGCTGCCATAGCAAAAGGGCAAAAGGGTTTTCTAGGGCTGCCACTTCACAAAAATGCTGAAAGAAATCCATAAGCTGAAATGAAAGGACTCTAGACAGGCAAATCTGTGTGAAGAAGAAAGGAACACCAGTAAATGTAACCATATAGGTAAATATAAAGTGGTTATTTTCATATTTTTGTTTGTAATTCCCTTTTAAAATGTGATTTAAGAAAGGAATAATAGTTATAAATAAATGTTAATGGCTCAGGATGTATAAAGATATAATTTGTGACAATGGCAACATACAAGGATGATGTGCTACATAAGAACATAGTTTTATATACTATTAAAATTAAGTTGGTTTTAATGTAAATGTTAGGTAAATAGTGGCAACCCAGTAAAAGAACATGGCCAATCTGATTTCAGGGTTGGAAGCAAGACCTTCCTGGACTAACTCTGAAGGAGAGTCTGACTCAAGTTGGGGTGGGGGGGGGAGAGGAGAGTGAGGGATCAGTGAAGTGAGAATATCCGGGCAGCAACAGTTTTGTGGCCACAGCCACGGCTACATTTTGTACTACTGGGTGTGCTGTGACCCAGCAGAGCTTCTGTGTTGGCAACAGGATGTGGGCGTTGAGCCATGATTGTTCACAGAGTGTTCAGGTGTCTGGGAGCAGCTACTCCAAGAACTCAGGTGGCTGGGGGCAGATGGGTGTCATACCTATCTATCATTTATTGGGTTTTTGAGATAAAGAAGAATGAAATAAGGAATCTTGCATGGGAGCCTGAGTTTTTGTCCTCATGGAGCTGCTTCAGGCTGAGCAGGGGTAAAGTTGTGGTGGAGACAGGGACTATGCGGAACAGGGTGGTGGCCACTTGAGAAGTGAAGCAAGACATCCCTGCCTGAATGAACCTAGACAGGGTCTGGAAGAGACAAGGGTCAGATGTGACTAGGAGGAGTATTGAGACAATGGGCCCATGAAGAGGTACAAGCCACAAGCTCTAGGAAGTGGTCCACCAGCAAGGAAGGGTCTGGGACAAGACCTGATTTGGTAGGTGTCCCGTCCCGCGGGACAGTCAACGGAGACCCTAGAGGGGGAGTGAGAATGGAGGGACAAGAGACACAAGAGACGGAGACGAGACAGGCTTCTGATCAAGTCTCGTTTATTGCCGGGCTAGCTAGAGTTCATATAGGGAAGGGATGCGGGGAGGGAACGAGGAGAGGTATTGGCGAATCGCTAGGCAGAGGGCGGGAGGATCCTACCTTTGAAAGCGGAAAACTGAAACTTAAACTTAGGCGGGAAGTTCAAACTTAACCTAGGCAGGAAACTCAAATTAGGCGGGAAGCAGGAAACAGAAACTTAAACTCAGGCGGTTTGATACACGATTGCCCGGTGGGCTAGTTTCCCACAGGTAGGGTGGTGGCTTGACCATGCAACCTTTTGAGGCCTTCTTGTATAAGTCTGGACTTGTTGGTGAAGCAATAGCAGGTCTTGTGGAGAAAGCCCCAGAGCCCACCTTTTTCTGTGGCTAGCAAGTCTAGGCCTTGGCAGTTTGGGAACACAACAGCAGCCAGCGAGTCAATCTGATCTTGCAGATTAGTGAATTCAATAAAGATCTGTTTTAAACTTTCAGATACCTGCTTAGAGAAGCTAGAAAATAGTGTTGGCGAGGGTGAGTTCAGTCAGGCAAGGTGGATGGCAGGGCAGACAAGGGAGGAGTTAAGTTAACTTTAACTGTGGGTGACAGAACAGCAAATTTTATTTGGTTTTGGTCAGGAACTGCAGTTCTTACTTTCAGAATTGAACCTGGCATAGGCAGCAGTTGGGTGGGGGCCAGGGGCT